ATAATTTGCACATGTTTTAAATAATTTTTAAACTATTATAACAAATTCATCATGTATTTTAAACATTTTTGACTAATTAATTAAATTAAATGCAAAGCAGAGTAATAAGAAATACGTTATGACACGAGCAAGTGTCTGAAGTGCCTCGCGCCAGTCTCGGACGTGCCTGACCACACGAATTCTGCGCGCGCCCATTCGTGAACTTCAATAGCTTACCTTTCAAATTCTATTCATCGGATCGCGTTTTGGTAAAGAACTTTTCGTCTTAGAATTTCACGGAGAATACGCTGGTTTCTGGCGGTACGCCAGTTCTGGGACACCCTGTATTGCTATTACCTGTATAAATAACTTGATATCAATAAATGACGTCAAGTTAAATAAAAATTATGTACGGTGTCTTATTAATCAATTACTATTATTTTTATAAAAGATTTGATATCTGTAAATGGCGTCAAGTTAAATAAAAATTATGTACGGTGTCTTATTAATCAATTACTATTACTTGTATAAAAGATTTGATATCAGTAAATGGCATTAAGTTAAATAAAAATTATCTTATTCAACCTAAGTGATATGTATATCGTTTGTATAAAATATTTGTTGTCAATAATTGGCGTCAAATTATACTCCCATAAAATGATTAATTTACAACCCAATTAGCATGTTTGTACACTACAAAATGAAAAAACTAAATCTTAATAAAATAATTTTTATATCAAAATACTTGGCGCAATGGAAGCCCCCATTTTTCGTTGCATATTCTTGTAGCTTATTTCGAGAGCTTTTAAAAATATTTTATTATATAGTTTTTTTCTCAACGTTGTAAAACTATTACTGTATTATCCCCCACAAATAAAACTATACTCAAACAAAGCGTCAGCGTATAAGTCTGATGTTCTTAGGTTCAAATCTCAGATGTATTTTCAAAAATTGTAAACCTGCGTATAAATCGTAAAATTAATAAAATAAAAAAATGCGAAATAGTTGAACACAAATTAAGCTCTAAAAATAATAATAAAATAAAATGTAATCATAAAATAAAATAAAAATTTCTTTTTTTTATTAAAATCTTTTTTCTCAGTGTATTTGTGTGGATATTTTGAAAAAATTCTTAGAAAAATCGATTCAAAATGTCGATTGGATTTCCACGTGAATTCTAGTAACATTTTTGAGTGGATAATTCACTCAATTGGTATAAACGTGGACTTCATCTGGATAATCGACATGATATGAACATCGATTCCTCGTACCTGTTCTCATCGGATACGACAAGGTTTACTTGATATTTGGCGTCAGGTTTTGTCGGCCAAGGTTTGCTGACAAATCATGAGCGGACAGATGGCGTAGAATTTGTCGACAAATTTTGCGTGAATTTGTTAATTTGGCGACAATTTATTACCAAATTGTTTACTGGATTATTAACATTATGTATGTAACGAATACTACAAGTAGCGTCTACCATAACCTCCTGCGTCACTTCGTAACGCACTGACTCTGCCCACGGAGATTTGGCAATGCCAAATCGACATTGCCCACTTGGAACCGGATTAAGTCCGCAATAAAATAATAATGGCTGATATTGGATCAATGGATGGACAGTGTTAATTTTGCACATAAAACCGGGCCACGTCCACTAATAAACCATTTTAACAGGCTTTGCTCAATTGCAAAAATATACATAGAATAAAATTTATTTTGTTTTCGGCTTAGTTTTCAAAAAAATCGGGTTTGAAAATTCCTTACATATACATGCTGTTACAACGAAAGTACGGTTTGTTGGGCGACGTATAACGCGTATAATTGTATTTATAAATAATGTTAATAATATCTACACGCCATTTAAAAGCTACTAAGTTCAAGGAAAAACACAGAAAATTTGTACTAAACAAAATTTTATTCTATTAATTACAGAATTGCTACGGTGCAAAAGATCTATACTTTAAAAGACTTCGCTTCACTCTTTGAATTGTTTTTGGAACGAGAACACGCTGATTAGAATTTCGCTCTTTTCGATAATGAGCAATAGCGGATAAATTACCATTACAGGTTTCCAAAAGCCCGGATTATATCGACACACTCCCTGTTCATGTAATTCGTTGTCGTGATATTTGAACAAAAACTAATTGTTCAGCACAATAGAGTTTTGTTACACACTTACAAAGTGTTGTTTAAGCACGATACGCCATTATACGTTGCTCGACAAACTGTACCTTAGTTGTAACAGTATGTGTACGCAGCAGATTTTTAAACTCAATTTTCTCGAAAACTAATTGTAAGCCCGAAAATTTAAAAAAATTTTATTCTACATTTTTTTCTTATTTTTCCATAAGGAATCACATCGTGCTCGCTTGTACAGTCATACATTGGTTGCAACACATTTTTTTTATAGGTTTCTAATATATATTCAAGGTTGGGAAAATTACTTTGTAAAAATAACTAGTTACAGTTACAGTTTTTGTTTCTCAAAAAGTAACTAGTTACCGTTACAAGTTACCGACTCCAAAAAGTAACATGTTACAGTTACAGTTACTCAAAAAGTAACGAATCATTACTTTTCAGTTACTTTTAATAAAGCAACATTAGCATTATAAAAAAAAGACGTGACATTATAAAAAAGAGAGTAGTTTACATTTATATATTATATAATTTTATTTTAAAAAAAAAGTAATGCGCGTATTTAAATATGAGCATTTTAAATATTTCATATAATTACAATCAACATTACGATTAGGTGATTGAGCGAAAGAGTTCCATAATTTTGATCCATGAAAGTGACGATTTGACATATATAAAGTAACTGTAAAAGTAACTATTAAATTAGTTACTAGTTACTTAAAAAATCTAACTAAGTTAAGTTACAGTTACACATGGAAAGAAAGTAATGAAGTTAAGTTACAGTTATTGAAAAAAAGTAACTGTAACTGTAACTTCGTTACAAGTAACGAGTTACTTCCCAACCTTGTATATATTTAATATACATAATATATATTTTATAGATAACTTATATTTTGCAAATGCGAACCACGATGTACTATCTTTAGTAGAGTAGTCTTCTATCTTTAGTAGAGTAGTAGAGTCTTTAGTAGAGTTCTCTAGAGACAGTATAACACCGATCGTGGTCCGCATTTGCAAAATATTAACACGTTTTGAAACCTATAAAAAAGAAAGTGTTGCAACCGACGTGTCCATGACTGTACATACATATTATTCGACCCTGCACGCACGCGCGCGCGCGCGCGCACGCACACACACACACACACACACACACACACACACACGCGCGCGCGCGCGCGCGCGTTTTTTTTTAAAATAACGTAATATGAATAATAATAACATGATTATTAGAATGAAATACTCTAATACATGTTATTATTATTCATATTACGTTATTTAAAAAAATAATAAAATATTTTATTATTACAAATGATAAATATGTCAAATTTAAATGGAAATTAATTAATACTCGCAGTTAATTTTTTAGAATATAACTTAACTTTTATAAAATTATTCCAAGCACCAAGAAAATTTCTAAAAAATGCTATACCTATTCTATGCATACTATATATCGCACAGATTTTATAATTAATATTATATATGTAAAGTTAGGTATATATTAAGGCGATGCCGGAAGGTCAAAAAAATTTGCACGAGGTCAATAAAACAGACTCTTCGGTGTCAGTGGTATCTCTAAATAAACTTCATACAATATCTTTTGTCTCACATGCATGTCTTTATCTAACTTATTGAAGTGCCATCTGTTACAAAATCCGACATTTACTGCTAGATGCAATTTTTACTGTCTTTACCTTAGCTAAGCGTGCGAATTACCATAAATTGCAGTTGGAACGATAAATCTTTTTCTACGCTTTTAATCGTAGCTCAAAAGGTCTTGTATTAATTGTTCCTGTAATCCGAAGAGGGCAAGCTACTTATTTTGTACATATGAACTACAGAACTTTTATACCAATGAAATGTTTACGTCAGGTGATAGGTTACGATAGCTGTACGATTTATAAAAAGGTAATTTTTTAAGTTTTTGTCGTTTTTACTATAAAAAAATAGCTTGCCACCTTACATTTTATGTTTATTTCAATCCTGTAAAAGCAATTTTAATTCCATTCAGTATTTTCGAAGTTATCGTTCCAACTGCAAATGTCGGTATTCCAGCATCGCCTTAAGTTATTGTATATATTAAAGTTATATATAAAAAGTTGTCAATTTTTACTGAACGTGTGAAACGTTTTAATTTGTTCCACATGTTTCTTACTGACCTGTTGAATTGCGTGGACACAGTAGCAAGAGTAACACGATGACTGGTGAAAGAAAACTGTTCCCAAAGGCATGCCAACGTACTGAAGCCATATTGCATCCTGAGAATAATTATTCATATATATACTACTCATTTACTATTAACATCCATAGATTTATATTATAATAAAGGAAAAGCAAGACTTGTTAATTGCAAAGCAATAAAGGAAAGAAAACGGCCAAAATGAGTAAAAAAGGTGTTGCGTTATAAGAATCAATAATTTTTTCTCTAATAAAATTCTCGCTTTCTTTTCTCTTTCAAGTCCTTTGCCTCTTGTCAGAAGCGTCGAATGTAAAAATCGTAACATCATGAAATTAGAATATTAAAATCCTCTATTATAGAGTGAAACATGAAACTTTTTTAGAGTTGAAGAATAAATCCAAATAAAGAGTAAATAATTTCTTCCAAAAAGTGAAATTTCAATGTATTCCGAGAGGCAATCAATTTTCACTACCGAGTGAAGTTTTCACTCCTTCGGATTTTACTTTTAAAAATTTAGAAAGCACATAGATATAGATCAATGATATAAAACATGATGATAATAAAGCGAGAATCTTGTTCAATCTCAAGTCTCAAGAAGTCAAAAATCCAAAAATATATTAAAATGTGGAATCAAATCTTAAATTAATTAAAATCAAATCTAGATAAATAAAAAAAAAAAAGATAAAGTTATAAAATTAAGAAATAAATTAAGATGCTATAAAAACGTATAAAGAAAAAATATTAAAATAAAATAATAAAAAATAAAAAATCAAGCTCGAATCGACAAATTGTCATCACCATGTTTTATATTATTGACCTATGTAATTCTTGCTTCTACTGTTTGACGTTGAATATTTATTATTATTAATTATTATTTATTGCGTTTAGGTTTTAACATACCTCTTATTTTATTTTGGTTATTTTAAATTTGGATTTTTTGATAGAATTGTATCTTCTACGTGTTCAGTTATAATTACGAAGTAATGTCCCCTTCATTCTATATTATTATTTATTTATATTATTATTACATACTCTTTTAAACTGACGAAGATTAAATATATTCAAAAGAGAGAGAAAGAGAGAGAAATGTTTTTGTCATTTTTTTCTTCTAATTTCATTTAAAAAGATTATTTATTCTTATTCAACATCCTTTTTTTGCTCGTCTTGGCTATTTTTTTTCACACATTATTGCTTATATTATAATTCTTAACACAAATAATATAACACTTTGTCAAATGTCTTTACCATATCGTCAGTGTCTGTTCCGAATACAGGAAAAACGAGGAAAACTGATCCAAAAGATCATCTGCAATATACAATTCCATTGTCTTAATTATTAGAATTGTATAAATGTATGCGCGCTCGTGTATGTACATGAGCAAACATATACAAAAAATATTCACTAACACTTATATGTATATGTATTATAAATTTATACATATGTTCGCAAATGTCGGCGAATATTTTTTAACACGATAATTACATACATAGTATCAATAATTATTTATATAATTTTACAATATATGTAATTTTTTAAATTAGTTTATATTTTACATTAGACTATATTTTAAATTAGATTATATTTTACATATTGTTAACTATGATGTATTATATATAAAATTTATTGTTTGAAATGTGAAATATATACTGTCTCATTAATCACGATCATTTCACGGTTTATAATGCTTCTAGTAATATATCACATATTTTATATCTGAGAACGAAGAGAGCTTGCTAATCGAGCAATAATAAAATCACTATTTTTTGCGGTAATCAACTATAGTGTCCATAAATTTGCGTTGCACGAGTAAATATCAATTTAATCAATTAATGTCGATCTATATATTGCAAACATATATTGCAACATGATATCACAATCCAAACGAGTATCCACACAAGTTATATTATCAAGAAAAGTTAATTATAAATGGATAATTATGGTGGAATAACTATCGAGATTTTTTCATTTGTACAAGCATGAAAAATTTGAAAAATAGAATCATCTGCTTGCGATAAAAACGATTTCACACTATGTAACGAAATATCGATGTAACCAGAACCTCATGCATGAACCATTTAATAAGTATAGCTTAGAAATTACAAAAGTTTTACAACAATGTTTGTGATGCAATAATTTGATGAAAACGTAAGTATATATTAATTTATATAATTTAAATAAAAATCTAAGTATGCCAAATGTATAAAGTTAACAAAAAATAATAACACTGATATCAAAATTCAAAGATTGGAAGTAACTCATTACTTGTAATGCCGTTATCGTTACTTTTTTTTGTAACGGATTGGTAACAGCGTTAGTTTATTTTTTGGTAACTGTAACAGTAAAACGTAGTTACATTTTTTCGGTAATGGTAACGAATTATACAATTACTTTTATCGTTACTTTTTCTATTTTAAATTTTTTATGACAAAATTTTCGTATGTGTATTCAATCTTTAGTTTTTAGCTAGTTTACTCTTATTTTAAGACTTTTAAATGTCTTAAAATATGGCTGTGTGATTAGTTTATGACATCTTAAAAATATCAAATTTAACCCCCCCTCCTAGTGATTTTGAAGTTTTGCGACTGCAATTGCAGATATTCGATTTTATCCATTTTTCGAGAAATACCAAAACTTGCTTTACTCGACATAAGAGACAAACTACTAATCGCATTTGTCTAAAACTTTTTCGGTAGGCCTCTGAAAGATCAAACTTAAGAAAAATCATAGCTATTTGATGCCATTTTTATGTCAGGACGAGAACTTTTCACCTTGTTCTCGTATATTCTTGTAGATGAAGTCGAGAGCTTTTCAAAACACTATGATAAAGTTATTTTCTGTTAAATACTTTTCGAGTTATAAGACTTGAAAATTATAATATCGCTGACATTTGGAATAAAAAAATGGTACAAGAGTAACAAAACTATGGGATCTTTATCTTTGCTGTGACATATCCACACACGAGGTGTAATTCGAATGAATAACCTCCTTGTAATACACTTTGCATGGATAATGCTAATAACAATATGCGGCTACGCTCCGTTTTAACGCTTAAGAAGATGCTGAAAGGTCGGCCAAATTTGTACAAGGTCGATAAAGCAGACTCTTCAGTGTCAGTAGTATCTCTAAATGAACTTCTTACAATATCTTCTGGTCTCACTCAAACACGTGGAATGTCCTTATCTTATTGAAGTGCCATCTCTTGGAAAATCCGGCACTTACTGCCAGACGCAATTTTTGCTGTCTTTACTTTAGCCGAGCGTACGAATTACCACAAATTGCATTCTAAGTAATAATTGTTTTTCTACGCTTCCAATCGTTGCTC